AGTAGTAGTAGTAGTAGTAGTAGAGAGAGAGAGAGAGAGAGAGAGAGAGAGGAAGCATTTAAAAAATAAGAGTGTATACCTTTGGTGGTATTCCCACTTTGTCCCTGCCATTGGATAGTCCAACCACCACACTGGTAACCCAAGTTGTCGGCGTGGGTTCCTGCAACTAGAATCTTGGGAGCTTTCTTATCAAGAGGCAACAAAGGCTTGTCACCTTCTTTCCCATTCTTCAGTAGCACAAGAGATTTCCTCACTGCTTCCCTTGCCAACTCCCTGTGCTCCTGCTCAAAAACAAAACATGGCTTATTCAAATACTGTTGACTTCAAACGATCATCAAGGGAGATCATCAAGGGGAGGGAGGGAGAGAGAGAGAGTGAGATAGAGAGAGATCATATTGCACATCATATTACTATCTACATTTGATTTTTTGTTGAATGAAATTATATTAGCAATGTCTCCCTATCTTCCTCATAATCTTCTCTCTAAAAGGAAAAGAAAAAGAAATTGTGATTCTATGAGCAATAGAAGACTAACATGATATGCAAATAGAATGAAATTGTGCATAGATTACGAACAGTGGATATTTTGGGAATTAATGGATAGACTAACCTGGCTGCCAAGTTGGTCTGCCAAGCTGAGATCAGCCAAGGGATTCTCAAAAAGGCCCATTTGGAACTTGACCCTCAAAATCCTTCTCACCGCATCATCGATCCGGCTCATGGGAATGGACTTACTGTTAACTTGTTCAGTCAAATCATTGATGAACTCCGTGAAATTGTAAGGAACCATAATCTACAAAAGGAACAGCAGAGAACAAGAAACACTACATGACCATGGTATTTCTCACACTTCCTAATAATTCTACTAAATTGAGGTGAGAATATAGCATAGATGATAGAAGTAACCCTCACCATATTACACTTCAATTCTGAGTAGGATTAATTGTGTGATAAAAGAAGAAGATATTTCAGAGGCAATACTAACCATGTCGATGCCAGCATTAACTCCGGCATGGACAGAGTAAGGATAGTTGGAGCCGGCTGGACTTGTGATCCGGTCAATACCCTGCCAGTCGGAGATTACAAAACCCTGAAAAAGGAGTCAAGTCACGATGCATTAGTTAAGGGACATGGTTAGCATGCAGCGAGAACACAAAACCCTGAAAAAGCAGTCAAGTCACAATGCATTAGTTAAAGGACACAGTTAGCATGCGGCGAGCCCACATATTGTAGAAATGCAGGCTTGGCAATAAAATATAAATATAATTTGATCCTAATTTTTAGAGAATATATAATCCTTAATATGGAGATCATGAATATGAAAAAATAAATAAAAAATTGAAAACTAAAAATAATAATTATATTAAGAAAACATTTTGGACCATTAGTTACAATTGTTTTTAGATGGACCACCTATTTGCATCCATCTTTAAGATGGATGCTTTATACCTCTGGACCGCATATTGAAGAAATGTGGTCCAGCCCGCATGAAACAATTGTTTGTAGTTAAAAGCCTATTACATAAAACTTATAGTGCATCAAGTACTAACGACTACTAGAAACTACAGATTTAGTTTAGCAACCGCAGCACTTGCTTTAGGCAATAGCTACTAGAAGTAAGCGCTCATAACCACCAAGTACTTAATTAATAATTGAAAGGATTTTAACAAAGGGTTTTAAAATAACTTGCACAAAGGGTGCTCTAAACATGAAATAAGATTGATTACACTACAGGATAATGTGAGGTCGTTTCGCATCAAAATATTTAAAGGTACCAGGAAAAGTCTAATACTACTAATTGAAAAAGGAAATCATTTTTTTGGCAGGGTGGGGGGGATGGATTGAGTATATTGGCTGGTGCATGGAAGGGGTTCTTAAAATAAACCCTTGAATACTAAACAAAATATAGCATTTAAAAATTCACCCCCGAGTTACTCAGAACAGGTACCCTGTGTGTTCCGGATGACCCAGAGTCAAATAACACGAGTCTTGACCCAGTCTAGCCAAGATTTCACTGAGTCCCAACTGAGCCTGTCCAGGGCCTTTAAAGAAGCCAGTGATTCTAGCACGAGTCTTGACTGATTAGACTCGGCACTCAGCCAGCTGACTCGGAACTGCCCTTTACCCAATTCTGTGTTTTCAAACACTAAGAAAAGATATAGTTATTGATCAAGAACTCAAATGTTGCGAGGTATGTGTAATAAGAGTGCAATGATTCAGAGGAATGGATGGTTTTCTTACCCTGAAATGAAGGGTCTTCTTGAGGAAATTGGTGACCAAGTCACGGTTGGCGTGCATTTTCTCTCCATTCCAACTTGAATATGAAACCATGACTGTTGAAACACCCTTGATAATAGCGTGATAGTAGCCAGCCATGTGAATTGCAAGCAAACCGTGGCGATCAATAATGGTGTTGTTCTCATTGATGCCATTGTGTGTTCCTCCATCACCCACAAAATGCTTGGCACAGGCTGCAACCTTTGTCCTGGGTGACAGCATGGATTTAGTTGAAAACAACACTACTCGCTGTGGTGCCTTTTATGTTTCTGAAAAGTACTTCATCGCAAACACAGGACATCGAATTTGTGGATCCTAATTACTCTCTCTCTCTCTCTCTATGTTCAATGTCCTAGGAGACTTACTTTCCGGCAACAAAAGGCACACCCTTTTTGGGTGCATCTCCTTGTAATCCTGGAATGATCTCAGTCATTGCCTCGACAATTTCTGGATCCTCACTGTAACTCTCATAGCATCGACCCCAACGAGGATCTCTACAAACCTGATTAATAGAAACCAAAGGGTTATGACCATTCAAAAAAACAAAAAAAATGAATCACTAGGAAAAGAAAGAAAAGAAAGCAAAACTCAATATTGGTTATCCAAATCACCATATAATGATCAAGCTTGTCCTTACCGCAATGCAAGGTGCGAAAGTATAAGGAATGCCAGTTGCTCTGACTTCCAAAGCAGTTGCAGCTCCAATCCTCTTTAACAAATCAGGATCCCTATAAAAATAACAATTTTCTCACAATAAGAATCAAGAAGCAATAAAGGAATCAAAGGTTCTTTTTATCTTTTTACAATAAATAACAATGCAAATTAAGGTAAGATCAGAAAACTGTAAGTTAAGATATCATTTGGCCTTCAAATGACTTAAGCATGTGAAAAAGCCCAAATAACTACTTGACTGTAAAAAAGACAAAGCAGAGGAACTCTTAAGAGTTTTTTCTATTAGTTTGAGAAATCATTGGTAAAATTTACAGTACATGCCTGGTTACTCCAAGCCCCACATTGTGAGGGAAGATTGTGGATCCATAGACATTGTTATGGCCATGAACTGCATCAATGCCATAGATCATGGGGATTTGAAGGCGGGAGGCCAAAGCGCCTCTCTGGAACTCATTCACCATGTTTACCCAAACAGCGGCACTAGCCTGAGGAGATGGAACACTCCCACCTCCACTCAAGATACTGCCTGAGAGAACAAAGAGGAGCGAAACCCACAATTTTAGACACGAAACACATGAAAATTAAAGAAAAATAGAGTTAAATTCATGGTGACAAACCTTTCCTTGAGTTAATCATCCAGTTAAAATCTCATATTGGAGAATTTATTATGGAACCAATTTATGGGGGGATTCGAATTTTTTGGTTCATAGCAAAAATAATGAATAAACAAAATAATGGGATAATATCAACATCAACCTCAAAGCCTTTTTCCAACTAATTGGAGTTAGCTACACAAATCATGATCCACCATTCAGCTCTATTAAGGGCCATACCCTCAGTGAGGCCATAAGTCCCCATATCTTTTCTCATTTTTTAGCCTTTTAGCCAACCTAAGTCTACTTTCTATATCTTATCGCCTATTGGTACGACACCTAAATTCTCCGAAATGTCTAAAATAAATGGGATAATATGAAGGTGTGAAAATTATTAAAACGAAAAAGAAAGACAAAATTTCCCATATTTTTGGAATTTTTCATAGACTTTTACATTATATTTATAAGAAAACATTTTTTTTAATGCTCATATAAAAAACACTTCTTCATCATGCAATTTATATGTACGTTCAAATTTACATTTGCAGATAAGGTCTTAAAAACTCTCACAAAAGCGACATGCATCATTAATATTGATTGTGATGCTTTTTGGCCTTTTAAAAGAGGAAAGAGTACTTAAATTAGGATGCAAGGACTCAAAAGTGAAATACTGGGCCTTTTTTTGGGGAGAGTGGGTAATACTGGGTCCTTCAAATAAGAAATTTTAGCCCGAAACTAGCAAATCATAATGCACACCAATCTGTAATGAGTGCGCCTAGTTTGGATCAGTTGAAATTTTCTAATTGGAAATTTAGCCTGAAGCCTCTCTATCCAAATTATCTGGTTTTGGAACTCTCAGACTCAGATTCATATTAATGGGAAGAACAAAAACACCAAACTATAAGAGATACCATTTAACTGTCACGAATTAATTACAAAAAAAGTACAGAAATAAGTGAACCACCTGTGCTCTCGAAAGGTTATTATTATTAAATAAGCAAATAAATAATCATAAATTAAAAAAGAAAGGTTTTTCTTTACCTATCGCATACTCTTTCATCACACTGTAATTTGCAACTTGGCGCTCGATCTGAGTCATCTGACCGATCTTCTCAGCCAAAGTCATCTGGCTCATGAGATCATGGATTCTTTTGTTTAATGATGCCTTTGGATCTTTATACACTGGAGTATTATGAGCTTGGCCCATTGATATTAAGCAACAGAGGCATAGAAGACTGAATATACGGATTTGAAAGGTAGCCATTTCTTGTTTCTGTAGATCATAAGAAATCGAGGTAAATATTCATTCAGTGTTAAAACAAGCCAAATATTTCTTATGATTTGAGGAAATCTAAATGAAAAAGGCTACAAATATGACTCTAGAAAGACCACATTACTCAGTCTTTCTGATAATGTAGAGAGAGAGAGAGACAACTAAGAGATAAAGAATAAGCTGAGGAAATGCGGATGGTGAGAATGGTTTCAAGTTTATGATGTATGTTAATATCTGGAAAATCCAAAGAGAAATTAAAATGTAGAAAAGAAAGGAAACTGTTTACATGTTATGCCAATCTACTGTTACCGAAAACTCCAAGATATATCTAGAGAATGGGGCATTCAGTAAAAATCCTTTCTTTTGGTAATTACTCAGAAAAAATCATTAGAAAGAGAAAAGACAAGGTATAAGAAAAGATCCACAAAAAATATCCAAATTAGAAATAGAAAACACTAGGAAGATCAATCATGAAACACAATAAAGATCAAAATAATATAGAACTCAACAAAACAGTAACTTCAAAAATTGGAAGACCAGAGAACAAAAAGCTCTGATCCTTAGTTGCTTAAGCAAGATATTAACTAAACAGAAATGAACAAAGATAACATTTACACATAAAAAATCTATAGAACCAGAAGAAACTTAGGCCATTGTCAAATAAAACATACATTAACCAAGAAAAAAAAAACGAAGATATGCCCACACAATAAGGTCCTTGAAAGATAGAACCAAAGTAGCTCTCAAAACTCAGAAAACCCAACCCAAGATATATTACACATTTGAACAAAACCCACAACGAAGAATCTAATCCCATACCCATTATAACATGCATTCATCTCACTAAATGTACAGAGAGAAAAAGACAGTACTCACATTGTTTTCCCTTTTTTTAATTTGGAAAAGGTTAGGTGGTAGGCACAAATTGAAAGGTATGATAAATGAGCTATTCTGGCCACCCAATCAATAAATAAATAAACAAAAACCAACCCATATCAGCATTTGAAAAAACATGACAAGGAAATGAGCTATGTTGCTCACCCAAAAAAAAAAATACAGAAGGAAAACCAAGCCTAACCCATATCACATTTGGAAAACAAGGCAAGGATAATGCCATTAACATCAAAAAATCTCGACAGAGATATGAATGGCATTAGCCTCACCAAATTAGAGAGAGAGAGAGAGAGAGAGAGAGAGAACTCACATATGGTAAGAAGAGTGCAAAACTGGTTTAACACCCTTGGAGTGGGGAATGAACTAGAAGGGAGAGGGTATATTTATAGAGAAAGTTTAGGATTTTGGGAGAAGAATTGGATAATAATAGGGATTTAGCCATTATCCTTACAGCTGATCTAGAGTAAGCAGCGGTTTTTCCAAACAAATGCCATTTCTGGTACAAAATTTGCAGGGCCACCAAATTTAGAGCGGTAATTCAGGCCGCTTTGAAACGACATTGACTAATCTCTTTGTTTTCTCCTCTAGAAAAGCTGCAATGACCATGTGCCCTTTTTGGTGGATTTCTAGCCGCTACAGCAGTCAATTGGGGCTATTGACTAAAATGTCCTTCAACAATCCCTTACTAAAATATCCTTTCAACTTTTATCTTTTTTTGTGGTCTAATGAGGGATATGTAGTAGAGATCTTTGAGAAAATTTATCATATTATCATGAAAGATGAACAATTGAGAACTTTATTTATATTTTTTATTTAATTTTAAAATACTTATAAAAATATACATGACCTCGAGTTGGAATTACAAATAAACCCAATAGTTCACCTATTTGTCGAGATTTTGACAACCTTTTCTAGTTTCTATAAAGTAAGATATTTGGAAGGTTTACAAACCCATAATGGGAAAAGTTTATATAGAGCCGAGGCTCTAAACAATAAAATTAGATCCTATCTCATAAATTTTACTAGAAGAGGTTGTTTTGATGTTTAAATATCCTCAAATTGATTATCTCGACATCAAGATGCATAGACATGAGAAAAAAATGGATTTTAAATTTTAAAAATAGTGTATTTTGTATCGTATTTTTTTACCATGATTTAAGAACGTACCCTTGTATAATAAGTATAGAATGTGTTGCTACATTTAAGACCTTCCATGATTAATGAGGTTTAGACGATCAATTTACAAGTTTTATGAGTCAAATTTTCCAATTTATTGGAGGTGTGACTTTATAAAGCAGTACTTTCCTTTTAGTAATAATAATAAATCATTTATTTATTCACATATTAATGTGGTACATTATAGGAGAATACACAATTACTGAATATCATAACGGATACTCATTCCACATAATCCATTGTGTTTATATGTAGTTGTAAGCCAATTGAGATAATTATCATTTATTTATAATTAAGAAAGGAACCCGGTTTTTATGTGGCCAAGCCCGCATATGTAGAAATACGAGCCTCTTAATAAATCTATTTTTTAGATGGATTTTTAGACTTAATTTTTAAGGACATGTAATATCTAATATGGAGATCATGAATATGAAAAAATAAAAAAAAATTAAAAATTAGAAATAATAATTATAGTAAGAAAACATTTGGACGGTTAGTTTCCATTGTTTTTAAGCATCCATCGTTAAGATGGATGCCTTACACTTTGTGAACTACATATGTAGAAATGCGGTGGTCCAACCCACATGAAACGATTTTCCTTAAGAAAAAACTCTGATGATGATGTATGTATATGTGTACAGAGATAGAGAGTCTAATACTAAAAATAAAAAATACTTATTTGATTTTCAAAAAGATAATGGTTTACTTTATCCAAAATAATAGTTTGATCTTTCCACCAAAAGTACTAGGTGGAAGTGAAAACAAAAACTTCAAGGCATTGCAGTTTGAAATGTAGAAAATAAGAGCAACAAAATTTACAAATATTACTAAAGTTCCATATTTTTATGTATAATCCAACTCATGAGAACTGCATTTTCTCTCTTCTTCTATTCTCCTTTATCACATAAAAAAATTGACTCCTATTTTAGTACAGTGGCAAGCACATGTAACAACACTCCTATTTTAGTAGAGTGGCAAGCACATGTAACAACCTCATTTGCCTCATATTTAAACTTCTAAGCCAGTTCTAATCGTTTGGAGATAAAATGAGCAAAATATCCTTTATTATTGTTCTTATATCCTGACTTAGCGGTTACCAAATGCCTAAATTCAGCAAATTTAGATTTGAAAATATTATTTTCTGGAGATTTTCTTTTTTTACTTTTGAAATTTTGGATAGAGGGAAAACATAGTAGTGAAGGATATAGTAGAATTTGGGTAATTTTCTATGGTAATTAAGGTAAAACATCCTCTCTCTTTTTAAAAAACAATCCTAACTTAGCCGTTACCAAATGCCTTAATTTAGCAAATTTGGGTTTGAAAATATTATTTTGTGGAGATTTTCTCTTTAACTTTTGAAATTTTGGCAGGAGAGAAAACATAGTAGTGAGGATTTAGGAGAGTTTGGGTAATTTTTTATGGGTAATTGAGGTAAATGTCTTTAGTTAATAGAGTTCCAAACATGGAGATAAGTAGGTACAATTTATAGATTTTTTATTTTTTTATTCTGTTTTGCAAAATTAAAAGTCCAATGCCATTTGAATACTTAGATAAGATACAATAATGCAAGGTTCACGAATACTCAAAATTTGACCATACTTTTGGCAGTCCAAATGAAAAATCAAACTTTTATATATTTTATTCATTTTGATTTTTCAAACTTTGATATTGGCATTATCTTAAAGCTTGCATAGCTGTTAATTTTTATATATTTTATTCATTTTAAATATTCAAAGTTTGATATTTGTATTATCTTAAAGCCTGACATAGCCGTTATCCAGTGGCTAAATTTAGGAATTTTAGGTTTTGAAGTAGGTACTTTTCGTGGATAACTTCCCTTTCATTCCAGACAGTTTAGAGTGGGATGCGGTTTGTATAGTGCGTAGGCTCTAAACAATCAAATTAGAGCCTGCCTTCAAATAGTATCGTGAAATATGGTTTCAATACTGAAAATCTTTTTGATAGTTTTAAAATATATTTTTATCTTTATTTATAAAGTTTAAAGCTTAAAAAATAATGTAGATCGAGAGATCTATGAAAACTTGAAAATCTTGAAATTTGACGGTAAAAATTGCGTTGCAAAATACACTATTTCCAATACTTGAAATCCATTTTTTTATCATGTTTATGCATCGTATATCGCGATGATGAATTTGAAGATATTTGAGCATCAAAACAATATCTTCTATTGAAATTTTTGATGTAGGTTCGAATTTGATTGTTTAGAGCTTCGGCTCTATATAAACTTTTCCATTTAGAGTGAAAGGAATAAGAAAAACTTTTCCCTTTAGAGTGAAAGGAATAAAAAAGAGTAATGATTTAGGAGTGTTTTGGAGAATTTTTCATGGGGTAACATAATTTTATGGATAACGTTTTGATAAGGCCTAGGCTTTATAAAAATACAATAAAGCCCCAGCTCAAGTCTTTGTCTCGAAAATGTTTTTGCCAATAGAAATCTCCGTGATGCTCTAAAATCAATTTCCAACACAGACAACAAAATTTGAAACTAAAAAAAATGGTACAGATCTTGTGGATCTTTGAACACCAATTTTTAGGGTGAAATGGAGGGTCTGGATAATTTGTTATAATATACACTATTTTGGAGCTTGAAATAGTATTCTTTTTTCAAAATCATAATATTCAAGCCAAGATGGTCAATGTAAAGGTTTTACTGTACTTGAATTGCAATTTTCAATGCATTTTAAAGTGAGGCTTTACCTATTTTGATAGGGCTGCAGCCCTATCAAACCATTTGTCTAATTTTATAGTTGCAATTGAGGACCATACGTGAAAATAATTACAAACATTATAGTAATTTTTTTTTGTTTGGAAAGGTCATCATGGGACCCAACTTTTAGAGCTCTAAAATCTCAATGGAAAAGGTTTAGAGCTCTAAAATCTCAATAGAAAAGGTTGTCGCGGCAACAAAAAAAATCTACAAGTGATGACCTTGATCTCGACAATTATGGATTTACAAAAAAAAATGAATTTCAAGCTCTAAACCGGTGCATTTTGTCGCCATTTTCAAGTGTTCATATATTTCCTAGTTTTGCACCATTTTTTTTATCTTCAAATTTTATAATTAGATATGACAACAGGTTTTTAACGCAATACAAGTTTTCGAAACTGCATCAGCCGTATTTTCACCCCAACGGCGCATTTTTTTCATTTGGATATGTAGATAAGAGATAATGGCGCAAGTTTCATGTATATCCAAATGTGACATCAGCTTTGCCAGTCCAAATGAAAATTCGGACTTATTCATAATTTATAGTTCGGGGGCTGTTCAAAAGTTTGAAATTGGTAAGCCCTGAAAGGAACCCGATATTTTAAAAAAAATATTATAAATTAAAAAATTAGCCTTCAATCATAGTGAATGGGCTCGGGTCTGGATTTGGCTTGATCCGACTAGTTATAAGCTGGACCTGGACCCGGGTCTGGTCAAAGTCAATTAAACCCGGACCCGACCCACTGATTATTTTATACAGTATATATAGACTACGTATTTATATTATTATATCAGGTCGGGGTTTACATGACCCGACCCAGACCTGGCTCGGGTTGGTCAAAGTCAAACGGATTCACACCCAACCAGTTGAGTCCATGAGGGTTCAAACCTAGACTCAGTTAGTTCGGTCCGACCCAATTCCCACCCTATATGGAAGGGAGCTCCCTTGGTGCACGCGTTTCACCGAGGGCAATCTTGGGATCGTTGTTTGCACGGGGCTGCAATTTTGTTTTGGCTTAGTGTTCGGTGTCAAATAATTAAAATCCTTTACGCCTCTCTTTTGTTTCTCAAGGGATTTAATTTTGTTATCTATTATTTTATCTTTCCATTTTTGACCCTTTACTCGTTTTCAAAAAGCAGCACCGCTGTCAATGGCAAAGGCCATAAAAAAACATTGATGGTGTTGGTGCCCACATAGCCCCATTGCTCCTCATCACTCTTCTCTTTATTTTTATTTTTTATTTAATATCTAGATTTCTCTCTCTTACTTTTTTTTTTTTAATTACATCATTTGTTTCTCACTCTAGAAAACGGGTTGGGTTTGGGCTGGACCGACCCAGACTAGCTCCCTATACACTAACTGAGTCCTAGCCCAATTAGGCCCAGGTGGACTATCTTGGCCTAAGGCTTGCCCAACTTATTGCATCAAGGTGTCCAGAACCGACCAGCGTTTTTAAGACTGGGCCAGGGTGCCAAATTGCCAGTCCGAGCAGGGGATAAATACAAAAAAAAAAAAAAAGAAATAGAAAAGCAAGAAAGATTAAAGGCTAGGGTCTATGCTTAGACCCTGGTTATTAAGCCGCGTAGCGTAG